TTCCAGTGAAATATATTTATGTTTGTGGTTGTAATGTGACAAAATATGGAAAAGTTCAAGGGGTATGAATACTTTTGCAAACCACTGTATGTGAAACACCCAGACCATAACTCATCTCACCTAATACAAAGGCAGCACCCAAGAGATTAGAAGTTAAATGTGGGGCTTTAAACTCCAGATTATAGGACGTCAAAAATTAAAACTGTGATTTGTTTTTCAGATCCCGTTCTCACTGGTTCAGTTTCCACTTTGGGAATATTTAAAGGTACGTACCGATCGCACATAAAAAGCCCGTTTTATTCCCTCTGAATCTTTATTGTACAGCTATTTGATGTCAGTAGCGTCATTTCCAGCAGTTACTCTCAGTGATAAATCCGTAGTAAAGTTATAGTGCTGTGCTTAACCTCTGACACGTTTACACCAAGCTCCTCCTCTATTCTTTTGTATCATTACAGCAGGCAAAAGAAGGGGAAGAGAAAGACTTTACTCTGGTTTAATGGTCCATCACATCTGCCATCAAACCAGCCTTAAATTCTGCATCTCGTTTTCTTTTCTTTTCTGCGTTGATGTCACTTCTCTGCCTCGTCCCTCCTCTCCTCTCCTCTGCCCTCCGTCCCGTGGAGCTGTGTGGCCCCGAGCTAATAAAAGTCAGTTCCTTCTAGAGAAGACGGGGGATTTGTCGGAGTGACATCACGTCTCAAGGGCGCAGGAGGCAGACAGTCAAACATTTCATCAATGTTGCGGGTCTACCGCCAAGCTGAGATGAACAATACACCACGCAGTTGTGTGTGTTTGTATTTATACGCATTTGTAAAGGGATAGTTTTAGTCACTCACAAGTATTTCTTTGTCCTCAGTCAAAGGCCTCCTCTGTCCAGGCCATCTGGACTCGTCCGTTGGCGGAGAGCTGATCTGCTGGAATCTGGCCGGCTCTCTTCAGAACTAATTAGGCCTTTCCTCAGATACAGTGACCGGTGGCTGAGGAAGAACTAAACAAGTAATTGCAAACAAACAAGTTTTTATTGCCGCTTTAAGTTTTTTTTTCTCTCCCAAAAATGACCACCAAGATGTTCAATGGTTCTCTCAAACTAAAATAACTGGATTCAATTGAAAGGGAAATGCCAAAGTGAGGGAATCCGAGACAGTGCGTGTGTGTGGCATGAGCTCCCATCTGGTTTTTGAGACCGTAATGTGCTGCGTTATTGCTTTTTTTTTTTGCATTTCAGTTAGAGCCAGCACAGCTGTCAGAAAGAAAACAGAAAAAAAAAATTAAAAGAGAAAAAAAAATCCCTGAGCTGTAGGATAGTCACGAGCAGCTGAATCCTGTTTGCTGCGCACATTCAGTTCAGCTGCTCTGTGAATTGTTTGGGATTCCAAGACTGAAGAAGTTCAATTTTGATGAATTATGAGCCAATTTTACACTTTGGTTTCTTGCACAGAGATTTAAAGCTTTTTTTTTTGTCAACAGACGTCAGCATCCCTGTGAATAATTTTTTACATTTTGTTCACACATTAATTTCACAACATTACTTTTTTTTTTCTCAATAGCAACTGTTGCTCACAGTTTTTCTGGCCTCAAGCAATAACACAAGGAAAACAGGAGGGTGGAACACCTCTAGGTTATGATGGAGCAAAAACAAAGAACCCTCCTAAGGAAAAACAAAATCCAGGGAATTTAAGTCGAAAGCATGATGGAAACTCAAATTTAGGAATGCAGTCTCTTTTCACGCACACATGCAGAAAGACCCGCCGTCTCTTTCCTCTCGGGAGGTCGTCCAGGTGCAAAGTGGGATCTCGACACAGCAGTTCACAGGTCAAAAAGTTTGTTTTTCCAGATTTACCCCCTTATTGTCTATTCATGATGCAGAGAGTGGGAGAGGGAGGGGCTCAGAAACGGAGGAATCCCCCGACAAGAGGTCTTTGATGTGCAAAAAAAATTCTCCTTTTTAATCTAACCTCTAATGGATTACAGATGACACATCCTGAGTCCAACCAGTACTTTTATTTATGTATATTTACCTGTTAATGTCTGCGCACACGCACACACATATGGTTTAGGTGTTGTCCAAATTTGCGTGGCAGATAGAAGGAGAATAAGTTAACATGCAACAGATTAGGAAGGGGCCGGCGGGTTATGCAGGAGGGGAGGGGACAAAGAAAATATTAGTAATCGCTCCATGCTGTTGCTCAATTGCTCTCCCTGAGAAGTGCTCATACCTTACAGCGCCCGAGGCGGCCCAGCTGTCCGCATTCGTTTGATACAGACACTAACTTCACATAGTAACTCCCCTCATCCGTTTGCCTGAACTTGTGAGGTGGGGGGTGGGGGGGGGGGGACAGCCTCCCTTCTCATCCTGAGTTCAATCTCCAAACAAAAACATCAGGTGGTTTCACTCAGTAGCTGCTCGCACTCAGGGAGGCAGCTCAGTGATCTGAAGGCTTTCAGACACACTCAGTACTTGGAAAATACTTCGGCCATGATTAGTTTCAAAATAAGACTGCGTATGCCACGTGGTGAAACCATATTATAGTTGTCTGTGAATAAATGTAGAACTTTGACTTTTTAAGAATGCAGAATCAATCAAACAATCAAAAAGAACACATATTTATTTTACCAATATATTCTAATAGTTTTTTGAGCTTTGAGGGACCTTTTTTTGTCTTTTACATTGTGAACCTCGGTTTCACAATCCTCTTTAAATTTGAAGTTATCACCATTGATATTTCCTCTATAATAAACCCGTTTGTTGTTTTATTACTCAGTGGGCTGGTGGCTAAGACCATACTGTATATCATCACTTCATCACTTTATTAAGCACCTGCTTACTGTTTCATGTCAGCCATTTCAGCTCTGTTACTACCTGGCTTCATAGCACAAAGCACATCAGGTGTGGGATGGTTTCAAAAGTCAAACTGAAGTGGCTAGAAGACATCTAAAGAGACTTGCATACTCAATCCAAAGGCACAACTTCGTCTCACATTGATGTAGTTGTGTGGGTGTGTTTGTTTATGTGGAAAAGGGCTTGGGCTCTTCAACTACCAGATTCAACTTTTGTGCATCCAAACAACCTGGGTAGTTTTGAGGAGTAGTTGACCTGAGGTAGTCACAATATTTCATGTATCTATATGACTCTTCCAGACACCTTTTATAAAGACAGAGACAGCCAAATGGCCAAAAACCCCTGGATGGAGGTTGGGCATCGTGCATGAAGGAGTCCGTCTGTTGAAAAGTGCGGAGCTCTACCTGCGACAGATTTATATCCAAATGACGATTATTGTAGTAGAGACTGCAACGGGAAGTAATCCGTGCTGTGACGTGTACCACAGTGGGAGGGGCTTCCCAATAGCTCTGCACCATGTGTCTCGTGAACTATGAAAAATGTGTAAAAAAATAAGCACGCTGTGATTTAGGACCCTTAAGTCCTGGACTAAGGTGTCTTATGAAAGAGCTAGTGAAAATCACTTGTAAAATAGATTTTCTGTGTTATCGTAAAATTCAACAGTAAAAGCTAACGTAAACAAGATTGATGCAGCAAGACCTTATAATATAGAACAAAACTTTATTTTTTCTCAACCAAGATTGTTTGGAAAAATAAAATCCATAATTACATTTTTTTAATTAAGCATTGGTTTGGACAGGCGATGCTGTAATCTTAATACATTAAAGTGCCTGTCATATCAAGTTTTTGTAATACAAATGAATGCATGTTTAGAAAGACGACATCGATTAAATTTCATGTCACTGAGATGAACAGTTGTTGAGATATTTGCCTGTGAAATAACAGGAGGTGATGTCAAAGGGGAATGTCTGAATGTAAACAGAGCGTTGCTACAACAGCCAACAACCCAGACTGTAGAGAAGAGTCTGATGTTTCTTAATATTACTTTGAGTCACTATCAGAGAGAGATGAACAAGAGTCAGAGTTCAAATAGTATTGTTTCAATAAACAAAAACCTGAGAATTTTCTTTGGTAAAGAGTTCTCCTTTGATGTCACTTCCTGTTTTACTTTGGCTGAGTCAAGTTCAAAAGAAAATATGCCTGTTCTGTGAGAAAATGGGTAAAATCGTGCATATTATTCCAACTTTCTTAAATATAAAGATGTTTCCTTGACTTTTTGAATTTGAAGTATACAGTATGCATATCACAGGCACTTTAAGCAAACATGGTTTAACTTTATCTTTTGACCATTAAGTCACTATTTTCCTGCTGAGTTGTTAAAAAACCCCAACATCGAAATTTAAATGTGTAATTTTTCACTTCAGCTTCCTGACATTTAGCTTAACCCACTCAGGGAAAAAAAAGGTGTAATGAATTCAGGTGATGTTTGTGCGTACAGGCCCGGGTGACGTGAGTGTATTATAATTGTTCATCGATTTTAAGTTTGTATTTGCTAATACAATTCTAGTACAACAGATTTCAAAATAATAGGATTATAGCTGCTTGTGTTAGCATGAGAGAATCTTGGCAAAATGCATGAAGATTGACCATGACAGAGCCCCCCCCCCCCCCCCTACCCCAACTCTTTGTCCATTTCCTGGGAAACGGGTGGCGTGACATCACTGGGGAGGAAAGAGCAACATAAAAATAGCCCTATTCCCAGCTGTGGACCGTACACAATGTGTTTTCAATAAAATATCTGACTTCTCCACTAACTGCCATCTTCCTTCTCTCTCCACTCTTCCTCCTCTTTCATCATCATCCCCCTCTATCGAAAACTATTTCTTCTTCCTTTCTCAACCTCTCTGTCTTTCTCCCAGACGCTGTGGTCGCTGAGGCAAGGTCACACGCTCCACTCTTGGCAGTCAGCAGTGTGCGGAGCTTTTGCAGGTGCAGGGGATTATATGCTGCTTTGGGAAAGAAGCAAGGGGGATTATTGTGGTGGGATGGACACTGGAGAAAGGAATAGATGGCTAAATGCATAGATAAATATTGAGAACTTTTGCTCTTTATTTTAAACTTTATTTTGAAAAACAAAAAACTGCAGGGACTGGGCATTGTTTTACCAGTAGAGCTCTGTTGTCATCACTGCTCTCATGCACTTGAGCCAGTGAACTTCACACCGTAGCAGACTTTATGGTTCTGTCTTTGCCTGGATGTGCATCAGGGGAAAACCCCAACAACCAGGGGAAAAGAGTGGAGGGATGAGTGGGGCCGGTTTCTGGGTATGGACCTCTGCAGCTGTGCGACCTTCTGAGCACTGGAGCCTGAAGTGGTTTGAGAAGAAGGGAGGGAGGAAGGAAGAGGAAAGAAGTGAAGAAAATGGACTAAAACTGTGATAAAATAAAGGCCTAGCGTTCCTTAACTGAGTGAATATTGCTCGTTGCATGATGAATAAGATCCTCTTACGCTAAGAGCAGATGGAGTTCTAGCTGTTTTGGTCAAACCTTGTAAATGACCTAATTTCACAATTTCATGCAATATTGACAGGATCACATCTGTTAGCACTCAGCTACTACCACATCAACTTCAGGTCAAGATAAGACGATCTGACTAAGTTAAAGCCTTTTTTGTGTTTGCTAAGGTTGATTAGCTATGGCAGCCATCTTGAACCGGGGGCCTTCAAGGTTCATGAGATATTTTGCTAGTAGACAGATAGGTTTGATGCCATCAGATAATTCCAAGGTTTTAAGTAAATATATACTTAGCACAAAATGCAAGGATATTTGTGTTTGGTAGATTATTTCTTTATTGTAACATGGCTTCTTGGCCATAAATCTTAACCATAGGAAAGCCTGTTGATTTAGCTTTTAAATGGTGCCACATTTGTAAGGAACATGTATTTGTGGGATGAGCAGTAGAGCTGAGTATGTGGGTTGCGCACATGGAAAAACTTACCAAATCTCTGCCAAACTTATTCTGTTGTTATAGACTCTTGTTTCAAGCTTCTGCTACAATCAGGTGCCCGGTTTAAGATTTATTGCCTACCAAACACAAATTTACGTACTTTTTGTGCTAAATTTATATCATGCTCAAAGTGTGTTGCAAGTTCTCTCAGCTACTAACATGCCAAATTTTAGCTAAGTATTTAAAACGTTTAAATAATCATTTGATTTGGATCGACTCCACAGAGCGATCAGTTGTAAATGTACGCCCAATGAAAGTGTCCTTAAAATCCTTCAAGTAGTTCATGAAATATTTTGCTAACAGAGGGCCGTTTTTAACAGTTTACCAGCTGAACTTTAAACAACAATCTCCTCCATTCAGTTGATGCTCAAAGTCTACGATGATGAGGACCCTCAGCTACTACCGCCTTTCTATAGTGGGTAATAATGATGCTATTGTTTAATGATATGACTTTCCTTCCTGACTCATGACTGAGATTGGTCCTCAGATGCTAGCTCCACCTGTATGTCATGAGTAAACGTGTAGACTTATGAGTTAGCAGGATCTGAAATATTAGCATAGCCAGGTCACTGACAAAAACCCTGGGTATGTTGGAATTGCTTTACAGGTCAGACCTCGAGTCACTCCGTCCCACTTTCTGTGTGTGTACTTGAATTGGTCACCTTTTTAGGATCATTTCAGTATGCACACCTACTGTGTCAAGACCAGTTGTCCTTATGGGAATGAATCATCTAGTGGAACTCCATTTTTGGGCTGAGGATTTGGTTTAGGACTAAGCTTTGAATTGAGGTTAGGTTTAGGGTTAAGTGTGCACTGGGGGGGGGGCAGGTTTAGGGTTAAGGGTCAGGGTTAGGCCATATAAGTGGCTGGAATTGAACAAAAGTCAATAAACGGTCTTAATAATGATGGAAAAACAAAATTGTTTGTGTTCAGTTGATCTACACAACCAACCAGAAAGAATGACCCACACCCATGAACCCACAGCAACATTGCCTGAGCTCCCAGTTCAGTAACTCTGAGTAAAAAAATGTGTCACATCATTCGTCTTTTCTCCCAGTCTCCAGTTCTGAAAAGAGCAGAACCACAATCTAAAGACATTTTCCATGAAACGAACAGCTGTTGAACGTTTACAGCTTTCAGTCTATAACTCTTCCACTGCTGCAACGTGCCAGACGGGACCGGACAGTTTAAGGTTTGGAGACTGAAATAGAGCTGGAGGAGAAAAAAAAAGACAACATCACCCTAAGGAGATGAGATGTGGCCCTGTGCCAGCTCATCTGAACACAATCTACACAATAAATAAATAAGAAAGAAGAAAAAGTTAAAAATAGCCAAAAAATGAGGCAAAATAGCCAGAGTTCAATCTGTCCAAGTATTTTTTTTTGTACTGAAGCTCCTGTAGAAGTTTGAACTCTTTGGTGATGAAATGATTCATGTTGGCTCAAAGTGCTTCAATATCCAGAATAGACACTTTGGAAAAGAAAGGGGGGCGGTGAGGTGGGGTGCAGTGGCGGTACGGGAGACAGTGGGTCTGGTTCAGGATTCAAGTTTACATCCTTCCGTGACCAAGCTCCCGTCCAGGAGGGATCCTCAGGTTTCAGAGCCTTGCCCTTACGCTGCACTTCACACACTCTCTTTTTCCCTCATCCATAACCTGCTCGACACTTGAAATCCTCACCCGGGCATGTTTGATCATCCCGCATCTCTATGCTTGTATCTGACTCACAGCAGACCAGAACTTGATTTCCTGTCCGATTTCTGCCTGGCACAAGATTACATCACCGACTGATTAATTTCCAGCCTTCACCCCATCTAAAATTAGATCCTTTACATGGATAGTTAACAGTTAGAATGGGTTTTTTTAATGGAAATATGAATTATTGATATTTTACCTGTTGTAGATAAATAGCTAGTCTGATCAGAGCTAAAACCAAAGCAGGTTACTGCTCTCAAACAACGCCAATATCAAAACTTTATTTAAAAACCTAAACATTGGAGTTAAGTTTGCATCACATGGTTATTCAGACAGAAATATTATTAAATTCTTGATGTGTTACAGCTATCTGGTACTGCTGCTTCTACATGCATAGAATAATCATGTAAATAATCATGTAATACAAAATTGATACCACTGTAAAGATCTAGTAAAATAGTGTTCACTTAAACTGCAAGGATTTTTTTTTCAATTAGTGATTTTAAGATGGCAGCAATCTATTTTGGTGTTGGCTCCTCTCAGACTAGCCATTAGCCCGTCGGTCTTTACAGAATCTATTTTTCCAAACCAAGGTTGTTCAATGAGCTTTGGAGCAAGTTTGGAAAATTTTAGACACCTCATGATTGTAGGAGTTTACAATCAGGATTGTAGTGAGTTTATTAAAAGGATTATTGATGCATTTAGAACACCTGTCATCGTGTTTGTTTAAACAAATGACAATGGACTATTTTACGTGAATAAACACATAATAAACATAAAACATGCATAATAACTATTCCAAAAACTCTATTAATCATGCTGTTGCTCAAAAATTAGCATGGATGTCAACTTAACATTGAAAAGGTCATGAATAAGCTAACAGGATTAGCATCGGGTTGGATGAATTAGTTGTAAAATAAAAAAAACATATGCAACAGCTGCTATGGCAACTCTACAAGGACAAATAGCATTTGAAAACTCATACAGAGGCTTAAATGCATAAACAAAAGCGATTGTATTCCTCACTCCTACTGTCTACAACAGGTAAGATATTATTTGTTAATACCCTGTCACAGAAAACATTACAAAAAAAGATTTGTTTGGGTGACATTCATGCTTTTCAAAAATGTTATATTTGATTTTGTATTTATAAACCTAACATGGAAAATAAAATACTCAACCAGTCAGATCACACAAATATGTACTTCTAGTGTGCTCAGCGTACTTACAGTCACGTTGCTGCTTTGTCTCACGTAGAAACGTTCACTTGGAGCAGTTGTTGAGTTATGTTCCCACTTGAAGTAATTGGCTGTGTGCATGTGTATATTTAGGATATTTAATGGGTATTTGAGGGCAGAGAAGGGCCTTTTTCATGTTTGCTCTCTGTTAAATATGTCTGCGTCTCCTTTAGGTGCGGTGGCGGCGTTTGTCACGACTCCTCTCGACGTGGCGAAGACCAGGATCATGCTCGCAAAGGTACACGCATACAGAAAAGACACACACACACACCCCAGCTTCTGGCAGCTTCTTTTAAACACCGCTGTCAGGTGATGCCTCGCAGGCAGAGAGCGGCGCGGGCCCGCTGCCCGAGCAAATCTCAACAGTGTCGGCGACGCGGGGCAGAGCAGGTCAGGGTAGCTCTGGGGACAGCAAGGAGAGCCTGTGTACACATCCATCACCCGCTTGAATATGGACAGTGTTGCAGCGACGTGTTTGTGCACATGGTTAGTGTTAGGAGGGAGGACTTGTTGCTGAGTTTCCATCTTAAGGCTGCGAGTCACCGAGAGGTGAAGCGAAAAGGACATCCTCTCCACTGCGAGGTGATATCCCTCCTCTTCCTCACCAACTTTTTCTCTCCTGGCTCGGTCTGACTGTACGTCTGGCTTTCCTCACTGCATCCTGTGCGTGTGTGCGTGTGTGTGTTATAAAGGGTAAGTGAGTTCAGAGGTACCACCCCCCCCCTCCTTCCATCACACACACACTCACACACTTACAGAATCCGTCCTTGGAGAAGACACCGTGTTCCATTTCCGCCCACGTCCTAACTAACGAGATACTGGAATTAAGAAAACACTCCGACAGTCTTGATCTCTTGTGAGAAGCTGTTGGCTGGAGGTGGATGTGCGCGGTACAAAAGCTTCCAGTAAACATTATCTGACAGGCAGCTGCTGTAATCTAACCACCCGCAAAGGGCTCTGCCTGTGCTGAGCCGAGCGTATAGCTTTATAAGGCCAAGGTTTGAGTTCGCTTGGCAAAAAGCTTATTTCATTAGGACTGGAAGGAAGTTCTGGAGTTCTGAGGTTTTCAGCAAAATAAGAATAAAGCTGTGTCGATGGGATTTGACAGTTGTTTTTAATTAATAAATAGTAGCTAAGCCAGGGCTATTCAACTGGTGGCCCACAGGCCATATGCGGCCCATGGATGACTTCCATCTGGCCCACAAATGAACCTGCCCCCACCCTCCAAAAAAATGTTACTTTTTTTTGCTTAATTTAATTTAAAATAGATTCAAAAAATTTGTAAATTTCAAATTTGTTTCAAAGCAGCTAAATAAACATTTAAAGGGTAAAAGATACTTGTTCTCTTACATGCTGCAGTGTTTCACCTACCATTGATGGACAACCCAAAACGGCCAACATAACAATTCTGTTTCTTCCTGATGAGAACACAGCAGAAGACCTGTTAATAACGTTTATTTTCCAAGTCTTTTTTGTCTACTTTTTCCTGTATCTTCTTTGGGAAACAATGTTTTTTCAACACATTATTACATTTCATTTACATTTTTAAACAATTTTTTAAAAGTTGTAAGTCTTTTGACACTCCGATTTTAGATCATTCTTTGTTTTAAAAGATGATCAAGTCACTAATTTGAAGTTATGAGTATTCTTTTCACCATGTAGGATTGTAAACTTTATTGGTCTTTATTGAATGACTGTATTTTTCCATTTATTGTATTTATTCATGTATAATACGACAAATCTAACCCTACAAATCATCCATAAAGTAGGGGGTGTAGTATTATAAACACGTTATTGATGATTAGATTTATGCTCAAAAATGATCGTATTGTACTCGATCGTATTATACATGAATAAACACAGTACATCATAACTTTAAAACAAGGGATTTACCAAATTATAACATAATCTATTAAAAAGGGGTCAATGGGAAATTGATCTTAGGATTTTTTTTAACAAACACGTAGCATTAAGGCTGTGATATTAGCATCAGTAAATATCTTATTTCAACAAATATATCTCAAACTTATCAATAATCTTTTTAAAATATCACTCAGTCCACTAAAGTTTCAAAGGTGTTGAGATTATATTCGTTAGCCAGATAATCAGCTACAGTTTGAAAACTGCCACAAATGTGAAAATTTGTCTGACTTTCTTTCTTTTTTATTTATTTTGACCCACTCCAGCTGAAGGCAGCAGCAGATAATATCCAGTTCATGGGTTAAACAGAGACAGAGCAGAGTTGGTGTGGATGGGAAACGAGGGTGTTGGAACTTGTCAGTTTCCTGGCCACAGCAGGATGAATGAAAGGCTGCTGTTGTGCTGTAGGCAGCCTGGTGCAGAGCGGAGCGGGCCAACATCCAGAGCACAGCTGGGTGTGTGACAAGGAGCCTGACTCGACGAATCACAGCATCGCTGCGTCCTCGCATCCCCATCCTGCTGCAGCAGTCAGGATGGTGGCTTTTCTTTTCTTCTAGATAAGTCTGAAAAGTCTATTTTAAATGTGAAATCAGATAAAACTCTTAGCTATATCAGCAGTCAGACAGGAACTTTGTGTCTTCAGTGTGTGTGTGTGTTTTGGACGCCCTGCTCTCTTGGTCCACCCTTCCACAGCAGTAAAGGAAAAGAAAACTTGTCAGCCGAGGAGTGTAATTTCTCAGCCACCTGTCTCCAACAGAAACAGGAGAAGTATGAGTGTTTTTCCTGTTAACGCCAAGAAAAAAAAAGAGTAAATCTCCGACGATCGTCTTACAATTTACATTAAATACAACAAACTGTTTCCTCCATGTTCAGGGATGTGTAGCATCCCAGACTGCCCCCTTTGCTGCTCCACAGTGATGGATTAAAAACTCTGTGTCGGGTAAATAAAGGCGCAGGATTGATGTATGCGGACGGGGACGAGGAGAACTTGTCGAATGTGTTTTTAAACGGGGGATGGGGCAAATGGTGGGTGACACCTGCGCCGACACAGCTGACCCTGAGCAAAGCCGCAGAGCTGCAGGAAGCTCAGCGAAGGAGGAAGACTGAACTAGAAGGAAGCAGATGAGATGGTTGTGTCTGTCGTCACACCTCTGTTTGCTCTGCGTTTGTGCAGGCAGGCTCAGCCACGGCGAGCGGCAACATCCCGCTGGTGCTCTGCGACGTGTGGAGGAGTAAAGGCCTTCCAGGGTGAGTGTCGTCCCCTTCCGTTTCATCAGATGGTCCAAAAACAATAAATAAATAAAAACCCTGAAGCTGTATTACACCAAGCATTTTCCTCCATGTCATTAAAAGCCCCTCTTGTTTTGCATGATTTGATTTAAACAAGCCTGATCCCTCACGTAATCAAGTTTGATCAGAGCAGCCACGCCGGGGGGTGGGGGGGGGGGGGATTTACAGCCTCAGCTTGAAAAATGAGATGCATAAAAGCTTTTTCCTGCCAACTCGCTCCGCCGTCCCTATTGATTAAGGCGTTACAAGGGCCGAGCGGAAGGGTTTATTTGAGTGTTTTGATGTGTTTATGATGCGCGCCGACAAAAGGCCAGGTCTAATGGGACCGGGGGGGGGGGGGGGGTTCACTGCCAGCGCTACAAACAACCCCTCAGTTGCTGTGAATAATAGGCCTCTTGTACACAATTCACCATCACTTAGTTCAGATGCGTCGTGGCCCAATACTCATAGTGTCTGGGACCGAGCCAGACACCAGCAGGACTTCACCTCTTTGTGCAACAAACACACACATTTAAACCGCCTTTGTTGGGGTTTTTTTATTTGTTTTTATAGGGGTTTTATTGCTGGAATCTAATTAAAGAGAAATTAACCAGAAGCTTTTTAACACCAAAAAAGAGCTTTTAAATTGAAAGGGGCTATAATTTTTGGTTGACCATACCAGAGGAACACAGCGCTGCACACTTACCCAAATACAATAAAGCTGACATTTTAAAAATGTTTTTGTGTCGATATATGTTTATTAAACCAACAAACAGTGCAGTAACTTAACATAATGCTCAAATGCATGTATAGCAGTTGAACTTGTGTTTTATAAATATGAATACAAGAAGTTGGAAGCAAACTAAAAATAAACACTTTAATGGGATGAAATTCAGTGATTTTAAGACACCATAAGTGCAGACTCCTATGTAGATGTGGTAAAAAGTCCCAGTTGATGTACTCGTGGCTTCAGTAAACGTCTCATATTTAGCTTTGTGCAACAAGTTATAGTGGCAGCTTATATTAAAATCCTTCATGGCAGATGGCGTCTGTAAACAGACTAAACATACAGATTTGCCTTGAAATTTTGTAAACAGATAATCTACTTCCCCCAAAAAAGTTTTTCTTTTACTTAAAAAATGAATAAAATTTAAAAAATGATGTAGACATAACTAGCTGCGTTTCCATTGACCATGAAAATGCGCAAATTAGAATTTCGAAAATAAATTTGCTCAATGGAAACACGTCAATTTCAAAAAAAATTTACGTTTTTCGACAAAATTTTTTTGCGCTAGGATGAGGTGGGTTATCGGCCGTATCAAAATTGGTGTTTTTCGCAAAACTGCAATGGAAATACTTTTTTCGCATCATGGGAGTCACGTGATCAACAACGGGCTGTTTCTACTGGTGAAAAAGACGATGAAGAAGAAGATAACAGGAAGTAGAAATAGTAGTAAAATCACAGAAGTAGTATAAAATAGTAAACTCACCGACTACAATTTCCCAAAAACACAGCATACGTAGCGGCTTCCAAGTAGGGGCTTGTTGCTGGAAAGCCTCGATAAAAGACGCCGACGTCTCCTCTGATGACGAGCGCTTGTGTCGCGGTAGCAATATGCTATGTGTTTACATCCATTGCCGCCATGTTTGTAATGACTTATCGAGAACAAACGTATTCACGCATGACTTTAATAGCATTTCTTACTTAATGGAAACACCACAGTTGCGAAACTGTGTTTTTCGACATTAACAGAATATTGACAAAGTTTTGCTCACATTTGCAATGGAAACACAGCTACTGACATAGAACTTACTTCATAAATGAAGCGACAATATTTCAAGCCTCTGTGACTTACACAAGAAAATCGAGGACCGCCAAAATGTTTTGAGACATTTTAAAGACTCTCTTCTGAATGTTGTTTACATACTGGTCTCCAACAGTAAAATGGTGGCTGTAACCAAGTGAGTGTTTCACATCCTGACAACTTTAAACCACATGGAAACAATGAATGCATTTCTAGTCTTTTTGTCTCTCTCTTTTTTTTTTTCAATCTCATCCAACCATCATCCTGTGCTCAGCTGTATCTCTGTTGCAACAGAAATCCTGGACAATCTGCAGCCCTTTAAGCTCCTTTTCTTTCCTTGATAATCAGTGTAACCAGAGAAGGTAAAGACTTGCAGCTCAGAGCACACACCAGGTGAAAAGTAGGGTTAAAAGAGAGGGAGGGGTGGGGTGTATAAAGTAAAAGGCTCCTTGCCGTTTTCTGCAGGGCCAAAGGCCCGCTTGTTGCACTGGTGCATGCCTGATACAAATTGCTGGGGCTTTAAAGCTATAATTATGGTAATAGGCCCAATTGCAGTGTAGTGAAGCTCTAAAGTGCTTCCATGTGTGTGCCCTGCCCCAGAGACCATGGCTTAGCAGGGAGCGCTACAGACCCAAACCCCCCTCCCTCACCCCATCACAGTAACCTGCAAACTAACCAAACTGCACCAGCGGTCATGTCAGAACACAAGATGAATGGCCAACACATCCTCAAGCGTTTTCACATTTACTGCTTGTGCAAAACTAAAACAGGAGAAATGCAAATGTGTCTGAACCCACTGCACACAACAAAGCAGAAGCTCTCGAAGCATGCGGTGAGCCTTAATCACATTTTTATTCTTCTATAAATTGAGGTTGTTTTTACAGATTTGGAGTTTTCACACATAATACAGCTCTGAGACTCTCCAGAAGTTCCCCTAAGGGAATGCATGCGAGACTGTAAATGTCTGCGTCTGATGAAGCCAATTTTCTTTTTTTTCTTTTTTTTTTTTGCTGATTTCACAAATGAATTTCCTAGTATTAAGCATGGAAAGTCTCAGCATGAGTCCACGTGTGAAAAGTGGAGGTAAAATGTCAGAATTTACTGTACATCGAGCCAATGCTTCCCTGTCTGTTGCTTTGACTCATTTGTTCAAACTGTTAAAATGATGAGTTATTTATTTTGGAGTTTTTTTTTTTAGGTCGACACACACACATCACAGATATTTAGAAAGGCTGCTCTGCTATCACTGGTGCTGTAAACAAGACACATTCTTTGTGTGTGTCCTGCTTTTGATGTGCTCCTCTCAGGGAGCAGATCAAAGTATGCCTAGCTGTGAGGATGCATCTCATGCCGAGCACCTCCTGCGGAGCAGTGCATGTGTGGATGTCCGTCCTTCTCCCGGCTGGGAGGTTTACAAGTTGTTTTGCAGATACCTTTAACCTTGAAGCTGGATTCAAACAATGCAAGATGTAAAGAAATCTGCTCTCGCTGACATAGTCGTGACAAAAATTGTGTCATTTTGTTCTCGTACGATTTCCAAGAGACTGTTTTTAACACCTGGTCGAGGGAGAACTGTTTCTCTTTGGTGTTGTGTGATTGGTCAATCAAGCCAGTAGCAACAGACTAATTGGTGATCAGTATTGAACAGCAAATGACACACCCTTGTTGTCTGAGTGCTTTTCTGCATTAAAAAAAACCCACGCCCAAACACATCTGACAAATTGAACAATACTGGACGCATTCTCCTGTGAGAAAAAGTTTGTCCCCATCCTTGTGTTGAGAAGGAGCAGGGAAAGCTCTGCAAACAAAATGACACAGTTTTCATTACTGCAACAACTGGAGCCTTGGATGGAGCATGAAGGGGCCTTAGAACACCTTCTGGTTGTCTCGGTGCAACTTCTGAAAGAAACTATAGTTAGCAGAACTGCTGTTGTGCCTTTGAGCCAACAACTGATGTAGTAACAGCTGTGGTCAACACATGAAAGTTCAGCTTTACAGTTCGACGATGTGATATGTGGCTGTGGGATTTAGAATGTTTGACATATTTCTCAATGCTTTCTGGACAGTTTCTGGGCTGTTTGGTGATTTTTAAGAGACAGCCTAAAGAAAGGCCCATCTTTGTGGCCATGTTGCAAGAACTGTTTAGTGAAAGAGCCTGGGGTTGTTCTACTTCTGCTAAGTTGTTTCTTGTTCCCAAATCGGTGGCTTTGATGAGGCCTACTGATGCTGAAAGTCMTGATGATCAGGAAAGGTCGAGGCAAGTTGATCAAAGTTCTTTGGTTCATCACAATCAATTATTTTTAGATTTACTGATTGTTCTGAAGAATGTATTAACTTAGGCAAGCTAAGCAGTATTACAATCACCCTGCTTTATTTCTTAATTCAGGATCTGGTTTAGTGGAAAACCCATCAGTTGGAGCCGAGGAGGCTCCTTCAGTTAGACGTGAAATGCCTTCCAAAACCCAAAATAAGTCTTATCTATCTTTTGAAGAATACAGATTCACCATGACTGTGAGACTGATGGTTTACAGTCATTCAGGTGATGATAATCTGTATAAATGAGTCAAAATTTTTGTTCTTTGGTTTATTATATGGCCAAAAAGTATCCTAAATCAGTACGGATCAAACAATTCATCAATTCATTATTGTTACCCCCGCCCCTTCCTTTACACTTACATTTTACATCTGGCACTTAATTTAAAATCACAATGATAAGTAGTAAACATATTAAACTATGAAAAAGTAAATCATTTTAAGAAGCTAAATAGATGCAACGATGGCATACCCTCACATGTAGCTGTAACAGTCATCAGCATAAGATGTTATTTTTGTTACTTGTTAATCGACAATGATACCAAAATGTGAACCCTTGCCCTACATAAGTCTATGAATTCGGGACCCCCCCACCCCCACCCTTTGACATGACAACACAAGATAGTGGTATGAGGGAGGGGTTAAACTTCTTTAAAGGTAGATTTTATAACAGGGTAAGAAACTGCTTTAAGACAAGTAAAGTTGTGGCAGCCCTCTCTGTAACAGTGTCTACATTTATCTTCAGTGTATTCAGCCAGATTCCTGCAGGAGAGCTGATTGGCCGACATTTCAGGGATGTCTCAGCAACCAGTCAGGCTGTGTTTTCAGTAAATCAAGGTACCCAGGGGGATCGGGAGGGAATATTTGACGTCTGAGTCCCACAGGTGGGTCAGATCCCAAACAGGAAACGTAACTCTAGTGGAGAGTTGAGACAAAACAAGAGCCCTGAGTTTAAAATTAGTTCAGTCCTCACACTGCCGGCTATCAGGCCCATCTTAAAGATCTCAAAGACTGAGTGGAATGTGTTGAGACACGTTTTCCCCAATTCACTCTTGAGTAGTGTTAAATTTTGTTGCATTAGTAATGTTCCCCCAGATCAAGCCTTTAGTCCCAGAAGGTGGTTTAAAAAAGGCAACATGGAATCAAAGAACACAGCAAAAGGAAGAATACTTAACTGTAGACTGGTCGTAATTCTTCGATTTTTTTTTTCAGTCAGTACAAGAGCCACTTTTGAAAACTACAAAGGGAAGTTTAACCACGGTGGGAAGAAGGAGAAAAATTTGCGATCAGCTCGTCAGAGATGCGAGTTAGCGTGACGTGTGAAAATAGCCTGGATGACACGGGACACTTCTCAGCCTCGGGTTTGGCTCTCAGCCGTCTTGGTCCTTTCTCAGCCAGAACTGGTTATATTTGGACAAGAAAACAGAGCGCGAGGAAGAGACATGAAGTCTAATTAGATTTTTTTTTTTGAATCAGGGGAAAAAGGGACTTGAACATGGCGTAACTTTTAGTTTTACCTCCAGCACATTGTTTGAAAGGAATGTGTCTAGCTAATGGTTTAGTAATGACTTATATAAACTTATGGACTTAGTTTATCATGTGACGATGAGACAAGATGGCAGATGATTTTTTATTATAATTTCAGTTTATATTGTAAGGCCTCTCAGTTTGTTCGTATTATTGGTTCGTTTAATTCTGTTTGTGAAAACTTGAACCGTGATGGTTAAGCCCAAAACTCCTCTCCTCAAGCGACTCCCAGATTTTGCACCACATGTATTTGTAATCCTCCTTTAGAGATGATGAAAACTATTCCTCAACATTGCAGTACTTTAAAAAGTTATTTGTAATTTCAAATGAAATCGGATGGAAAAATACTGTAGGTACTTGGACTCCTGCACAGATGATAAATACAGACAGCACGCACACACACACACACACACACACACACTTTCTCTTGTTTCTTTTGTTGCCGTGTGTTTCTGTACACACTCAGGCACCAAATGTTCTTCATCCGTTACATCTGGCTGAGGCCGGGCCAGACCATGTGAGCACGGGGGCGTATTGGCAGACACGAGGTGTCAGTAGGCAAAATGCAATGGCAAGGAAAGGACGGAGAGAAGGAAGGAAAATTTCACAAAAAGAGAGAGAGAGTAAAGAGAGAAAATGAACAAAAGGGACAAAGTCAGCATATGTCTGAAAAGTGGATGACGCAGCAAAAGAAAGAAAAATCAGATGCAGGAGAAATCCCCTAAACAACTGAGCCAGCTGGGGGGGGTGGGGGGCTGTTGGATGGATGGACAGCAGACAGACATGTGTGGATGTCATCTGACCATCAGTCAAGCACAGAGAGAGAGGATGAGCCCCATTGAGAAACAAAGGTTGGGGCTTGAAGCCTAATCCCAAAAACAGCTGTGTAGCAGGGGGTGTGCGTGCGTGCATGTGTGTGTGTGTGTGTGTGTGTGTGTGTGTGTGTGTGTGTGTGTGTGTGTG